TCACAAGACCAGTCACAAGACCAGTTGCAAGACAAGTCGCAAAACCAGTCACTAGACCAGTCACAAGACCAACAAGTAACAGGGTGAATATTGACAAGGGAAAGTATAAGTTGCAGTTCATTTTGATAACTTGTGGCTTGAATGCAGACTAGAGGTCTGTTAAGCATATAAACCTTAACAAAATCAAATGTTATTTCTTGCATCGATTGTATGCAGAGAACAACTTTTTTGAAACTACATTTTAAAAGCACTAGTCTTGCCGTTTGAAATTACCAAAAATCAACATCGATGAATCGTTATAAAAATTCCTTCCTTAGAAGCATAAATACAGGCACATCACATAGTAATAGTTTTGAATTGCAGTGACCTACCTTCAAACAGGTCCCGTCTTTTGGCATCGACGTACATCAGGCAGTATGCACTGGCGTTACCTGATCCCCCGACTGATTCACGCTCCAGGTCAACCCAGTTGACTTCTGACACTGAGATGTCATTGAACTTGAGCCACACGTTCCGTCGATGGTCCAGGAGGTAAGCCCAGTAGTGACCGGCAGAGGCTTGACCTTCGTGGACCAAGACGGCATGTAGCTGGTACACATGCTTGGTGACAAAGGAAAAAAAAAATCAATCGGTCAATCGCGACATTCTGTTCATTGGACGGTCATGCATACAGCTCAAAAACGTACGAACGACCTGAGTACTGCTTTGTTGGCTGGTATCATTTTCTAACAACGCCAGTTTAATGTTATCTCCCATGGGCACCAATGAAACCTTTACAAGTTGAGTCCTCATTGGGCCGATCATCAAGTACAAGCACTATAACCTCGAATTAAATTCAATTTGTGAACACAAAAACTACATAAATAGACAACAAATCAATTCTGGGAATTAACATGTAAAAATCTTCCTGGGACAATATTTTTTCCGATGTGCAGCTGTAGAGTTGCGTGTGTGTGTACGGTGAATTGTACAATGCTATTTTGACCGGGATTCATGGACTGGTTGCCGCGTTACCGTCATGCCTTCTTTGGCAGTGGCATGGCACAGCAAGAACCAGTGAATGTTTGTTCTATCCATTAGCAATAGTGCATGGGTATTGTCACCACCGTGATATGCAAAATGCAAAGGCAACTTGTGATCATGACCCAATTTTCTTTCCAAATGTTGTAAATGTAAGCCAGGAAACTACATGTATGTGAAAAAAACTGTTGAGAGGTGTTTTGTGAAGACAGGATTCTTTTATCCTTTTTTTTTAAATTCATAAATGTGTTTTTGTAACTTACCAGTATACATTTTACAGTCACGCCAAAAATTAAGGATTGGTTGCTTAACCAGAAGCAGAACTCTTTTTTTTGGCCTCAAAAATTGCATTTCAATCCAGCTAGGCTGGCCAATCAGCTGTTTTGGTAGAGAAGTTAGACTAATGCAAATGGGCATGCGTGATCACTGGGCCTGGTCAATTTCATTACATGTACTCAACCCAGGGCCACCAAATTTTTAGCAGGGCCAGTGCGGTGCATTTCTAACTGGCCCTATGGGCCACCAAGAAATGGAAGTTATTTTTGACCTCTGTATACATTTATGTAATCCTTCTTTTCTTAGGCATCTGGATAGGATAACTATTCTATCCTAAGCAGCACAAATACTATTTTGCCAAAGGATCAAAATACCCAGGTGCAAACCATGGCAAAAATGGCATATAAAAGCTAGTGGTGGAAACAGTTTCTAAAAGACAATTGTTTGGGATTCTCTGAATTAAATTAAAACTGAAGAAAATATCTCTCCCGGACATATAATGCCACAGAAAATAAAATTTAAACTCTACTTACATTTCTGAGGTTGTCATCCTGGTAGACATTAGATTTGAGATCTTTCAGCGTTGCTATTTTGTCTTGTAAATCTGTCCACATAACAAAATTTAAACACTAAATGTAAATCTGAGGTATACTTTTTAGGCAAATAATCTGGGAAAATCAATCTTCAAACCAAATTCACAATTTTCCAGTATAAATAATTGAAACATTTTTCTGACTTCAACTCCAGAGAGAAATTAGTCGTAAGTAATTAACTTTGGAAGTATAAATGTATATTGTTCCTTCTCCAAGATGTCTGAGAAAGAGGAAAGATAATGATCTCCTGGAGATGAGTACAAAAGCAGCTGACCTCTGACATCAGATTCGACCTCTGTCCTCCAACGGCGCAGGCAACCCTGCAGGATATCTAACTCAGTGTCCGTGATGTGTTTCGGTGAGGGGTTTGCTCCCGATCGTGTCAAGTCGGCAGGAGAGTTTGGCAATGAAGATGGAGACGACATGGCGACATCGTTGACAGGCACCGAGGCTTGGGACTTGTAATCCGGACTGAAACTGTCATTGGTTACATTCTCAATGTACAAGTGACCAACAGCCTTTACTTGTTGAATTTGAAAAACAACTGGTACCAGTGCGTTAACTTGATCAAACATTTGAACTATAAATATGTCAAAATAAAGGCACCGTTGGAGTAAGATCATAGCAAACTCTTGGGCAATCATGAGTCCCCATTCAAAGACACCTTATCTAAGTTGAGTATTAGATCACAGACATCTGACAGAATGTCACACATCCCGAAATAAGCCTAGTAACAATGCGTTGTTGTGAATACAGTTGTAGTGGAGTACCTATAAGGACATGTACATATCCATTTGCAAGGTGCTTCACTCCATGTTGTTTGTACTCATGAATCTCTACAATTATATCATGAGTGCCGGGTCTGTGTCAGTCACAAACTATTCATAGGCTCTGTAACAAAGAAATTCCTTTGTCGCAGGTGTACAATAGAATAACTTGCTGTAACCGCAGAAAAATACTTGTGAAGTACGAGACTGCAGAAAAAACTTACTCCGTACACTGATTCAACAATCAGATTTGGAATAACACACCCTCTTATCTCATTCGACGTTTTTTATTTGTTTTCATGAAAAACTTTCTGAGGAAGTTACTCATTTTCAATGTGGACTTGACCTTTGACCTACCCTGAGGCTGGCGGGCTACCAGTCAACGACCGTGGCGGAGATGACATCTCAACATCCTGTATATTGGAGTTATTTGATGACAGCGTCACTGATCGTCGTATGGGACTATTCTCAGGGGAAGTACTGTGGGCAAACTCTAAGGCATATTGCAGAACATCTTGGAGGGGAAAACGCTTGGGTCCAGAACCATAGTTGAGATACCTAGGAGATACCACCGACAGTTATTGTCATTTACAGTTTAGCATTTTAGTCCCAAGTATTATTACACATAGCTAGAGGGGGATCTAATTGGAATGCACATCCACATAGCCTGAAATATCCTCAATACAGGGAAAAAAAGGTGTAACTAACTGCCTGAGATATCTTTGGTATGAATTGAAATAGTTTCCAGACAATAGTGTGCATCAGTATGCCATGCACAGTGAAAACAGAAAGAGATCCCAAGGACTGACTGCTAGTAGATGATAAGTCAAAGGTTGGAGGGAGTAAAATGTGATGTAAAGGAGGTGTATGTTTTTTGTGATCACCCACGGTTCATAATTCACTGATTACTCATGACTGTGCACAGCACAATGGCAATACAGGAACATGACAGGATTGAAGTCCACACTGGACAAAACAGGACAGATTTTGAAGGGGTCCAAATCTCACAGGACACCCGTTAAAGCTGGTATCGGAATTACTTTTCTCATACCCATGAAAAGAAACCTGACCTTGGTACATTTCAAGTCTATGACAACTTCCTTCACAAGTCCCTCCACTAGACCAGTTCCAAGCAGCGGGGTGAATAATGACAGAGAAACACTTCTCTCTGTTCATTTGAACAGCTTGTACGTTGGCTCTAGACTGGGGGACTTTTGAGGGGACTTTTGAGGGGACTTTTGAGGGGACTTGGAGGGACTTGAGATGGACTGGACCACAACGCTATTTGGTTGATTACTTACCTCTCTAACCTACCCTGAAGCACCTCTAGTTGTTGGGCAATCTGATGCACCTGTGTTCGTTTGATACGAGTCACCCCTTGATTGCATTCCATGTACCTGGAAAACAGGTGGCAAGAATGAGTACGAGGTAGATGTTGTCATCAGGACACACTCCGGCTCATTTCATTGGTTGTGAAATAAAGATTTTTAACAGGAAATGTATGACGAAGTTAATGAAAGCTCCACTGGAAAGAAACTATCCCTGAAGACATTGTTTCTACCAATGTAACTGGGCTTTATTCAATCTCTTCTACTCCTATTGTCACTCCCAGGGATTGCATCTAGAAGCACGAGCGGGTCTCAGCATTCAATTATGTCTTGCAGTTTACAAAACTTCCCCCTCGATTTTTAATACAAATGGGCCAACACAGGGCCTCAAAAGCTTCTAAAGTACAGGTTAGCATTAAAAACAAAATACAGACAGAAAGCTGGACGATGTGAAAGACACACATCCCAGTTCATAATGATTACAAGCTTTATATATTTGTGAAGCAATATTCAGCCCAAGTACTGATGACGTCATGTTTATTTACATGTGCTTTCTGACAAAACATATATCTAACCTTTCCTGACTCTCATAAGAAAGTGCATATGTAAAAAAAGTATGACATCATCAGTATTTAGGCCTAATGGAGCAAGATTTGGTAGTATCTTTCCCTAGACTGGTTCACCTGTCCATGTAAAGCGTCTGTGGGAAGGTGAAGTGGTTGTGAATCTTTTCTGGTCTTCCTGTTGCTTGATTGAAGTGGAATCGTGACAGCTCGAAGATTAACACCTGGGGCAGCCTCGTAAACCAGTGCTGTGGAGCAATTGTATTGGATAAAGGGGCAAAATGAAAGAAGTTTAAGACGAGAGATACTTTGAAACTGTAGTGAGTTAAAGACTTTGCAAACTGCAACACCATCAGAGACATAAGGGGAACGTTGCCAATACCTTACTCACTCCCTTGACTGTGTTTTGCACCATCCACAAGTGTGAATTGGATTCTAAAACCTGCTTCCAATTCCTATTGAACAGATTTCTTCATTTTTGGATCTTACTCAACTGCCTCGAGACTACCCACTTAGAATCTCTGCACATAATGTCGTATGTAAAGTAAGAATAGTTGATCAGTGTTCCTCTCAATCCTACAATCCTACAGAGCTTCCTGATGGAATTTGTAGGATCTGGGAGGGTAGATTACAGACCTCTTGTGCTGATTTCTCTTTGGCATGTTGCACAGTTTCAATCTCTCGGTGTGACATGGAAGCTTCGATACTCTCATGTAAGTCTTCATAACCGCTGATCTGGAGGGGATACTGTCCAAACGTCTCTTGGTTTGTAAAAACTTTACCTGCAAAGGTACCAAGAAAATTGCCCCCTAAAACTTGGAGTGGAATCTTTATTCAAATGTTACTTCTAATGAGAAATCCTTTGGGGGATTTCTTGAACTCAAAATAAAAATGAAAGATGGGGGATTGTGCTCCTACGTGTTTAAAACCAAGTTTCAAGACTACAACAGGAATTAAGTGTGTAATTTGCCAAATTCTTTTTTTTTATTTTTGAAGGATGGCTACTCAAGCCTCTTTGAGGTGTCAAGAAAACACCATTTCTCTGATAACAAGCATGAGTGTCTCTTCAACTCGCTCCAAGGTACTTCTATAAATTAGGGGTCCAATTTTTTCCCGTCCCTGTCAGATCTGACGTATGATTTTTTAAGTTCAAAACACATTTTCTAATTTCCAAGAGTGATGAATTACTGCACTTACCTAATAATAATAATTTGACATCAATTCCGGTGATATTTCCAAATAGCAAACATCATCAACATGTCACACTTTGGACCCCTAATTTCTTGAATTACCAAGAAGTGACCCTCCATTTGGTTTAATTTGACTTCTCCATGCTTTGCGATGCAATGCCAAGTTAATGCCAAGTCCGGGCAACAGGCTTCAATCAGAGAACAGACTGCAATGTGATAATGAAGTCAGGCTAGCTTCATTGATCCCTTCTGCTTTGAATTGACCATGGACATGGAATGGATTTACCTAAGTAGCAGTGTAATGCATTCTGCCCCTGATAGGTGTACCAGTACATGTCTATGCAAGACATAGAGTACCTAAGTGAATACGGCATGCGCACAATTAGTGTATAAAAGGCATTAGCGTGAGAACCAGCGTGAGAACCAACACGCACGCTTACTCCATTCGTTTGCACTGCACTTTCTGGTTCTCAGCGACCAGCTGCACGGACCAGCTGGCAAACAGCTTCACTCCGGGTATGCCGAGTAGAGAGTAAGATGTGATCTTATTGTTCTTTATTAACAGACCTTTATCAATTCCTCAACTGGCTACAGATGAAACCTTAGACCACACTGCACTAGAGATAAGAGATACCAAACTATCTAGGTTACAGAATTCCACACTCAGAGTACAGATTGACTACAGTGAAGTTTGCTCTCCATACCTTCATTGATTCCTTCTGCTTTGAACTGGCCATAGAAGAGATCTAACATTGGGTTCCTCCGGGGGGTTTCTACACCCTCCTCTTCCCTGTACAACGCAATGAAAAGTAGAGGTCTTGAGTACCATGCATTAGGTGCTACACTGGCTCAACCACTTTGGCTAGAAACAACACCTGAATCACTTTAACTATCTTGAATTCTAAAAATCTGCAATCTTCCTCTTTGCTAAAAATGAAATGGGACAACATGTCCACAAAAGGTAATCATGACACTCAAGTATCTTGAGTCTACCATCAAGGTTGCGTGTTTATCTCGAAGGGAGCACCTTTCCATAGAATCTACAACCTTAAGTTTTAACAACCACTGAGTTTTGAGAGCAAAGCACTGATCTATAATACAACATTAAGTTTTAACAACCACCGAGTATTGAGAGCAAAGCACTGATCTACAATACAACCTTGAGTTTTAACAACCACTGAGTTTTGAGAGCAAAGTACTGATCTATAAACTATACAACCTTGAGTTTTAATGACCAATGAGCCAAATTTTCCACATCTAAGAAGGAAGTATTGGGATGATAATGACAAACACCAACCAGGAACCAGCTACAGGATAATATTCAACAAGTGATATACTTGTTGGTAACCTGCCTCTGCTGAGCCAATTCTACCTGTGCTTTAATGGTTTGATAAATACTTGACCTCGACGTACCCTGCTTGAGGTGATGGAGGACGCGAACAATCTGACTTGAAGGCATCTTCCAACCATTCCAGTAGTTTGTGCGTGAACTCACTCACATCCTGAAGAGAAAAAGATTTCACAGGAATCATTAAATGGCCATCTCTGAGCTGGACTGAGAGAGGGTGCAATTTCCTAGCAACGAGGGTGCCTTTGGTGGGAACTGCACTTGGCTGGTTCACAAACAAACACGAAAAGCTCATGTTATGGTCGCATCGCCACCCACAAAATGGACACTCCCTACCAACATGGCTCTTTTCAACCAATGAGGGGGTGCTTGTGCTCCTGGTGGATTGTACAAGCCTGTGCTTGGGTGACACACAACGTACTAGCTGACAATCTTGAGTAAGTAAAGACTTGTCGACAAAACTTACGATTTTGTTTCAAAGTAACTACTGTAGGTGCAAAGCCATAGTTATATTGAAGACTATTTGATATGTGGACACATACCGTGATACACTGTGGTGCCACACAGGGCAGTAATCATGGTAATAGTTAAAAACTTGAAAGACTAAAGTGATAGTTTGAGGGGCAAAGAAGAGTTTTGTGTCAGGGAGATGGATATTCAAACACGTGGGTTTTACCTGTCACCATAAGATTGCTCTCACCTGAGCAAGCTTGTTAATTATTTCTTGTCACAAGCTCTCAAAAAGCAACAAGCACATAGGAGTATATAGGACAAAATTTAATCTTGACTGAATTGATTGAAACACATTGCTTCATAGACCTCTCTCATATTGCCTGCTTTTCACCCTTGGTTGGTGTCAGGTTTTGCCTCAGAAGGTATAGCTGTATGTGCATTATGAATTTTAACACATCGTGAATTATTCTTTTGATTTTGTACACACAGCCTTCCATAGTTACCCAGCCACTTGTAGGCCCAAAATGCAATGGTAACATACATACAGAGAAAGGTCTATTTAGTGCTACACAGGGCAACAGTAAAATATTGAACGGGTAATAGTTGATGGGTACTAACTCACTGACCTGTTGGCTATTTGCTCCCCCAGTGGTACTAAAGGCTCCTTTCAAGATTTCCACTGCCTTGCTAGGATCAACGTACTTCCGCTTTGTTCCCTGCATCAGGGCAAACAGTGCCCTCAACTCTGTCATGAAGAGGAGGTTGCGTCGTTCAGACTGGGCGGCCGGACACTGGAGAAGAATTAGGACAATATCAACACAGGTGCACCTCTCAGGCAACAATATCCACTTGCCGCCTGGGTTGCCGGTACCGGACAGGTTTTTTTATACAAGTGGCCGGGGTCTCCGAAATTGGACAAAGGGAACTGTGCTTTGTAACAACAGACTGTACTTGGAACAAAACACCAGGCTGCTGGGCATTACCAACATTTTTTTAATCTCAATAGTGGAGATAATCTAGCCTTATTTTGAAACACCATACCACGGTTCGGGGCATTTAGAGCAAGCCGATTACCACCAGGGACAAAAGCGCTCCACCACCGCAGTGATGAGCCATACAGTACCGCTACATGCTAATCTGGCCCCATTGAAAACAGGTCAGCAGTGCAATGTGCCAGGTTCATGAACAAAAGAAAATTATATAACACCACACAATCTGGGCTCTTTTTACAAGGCAGCAGGTCTGGCTCAAATACTCCTTCGTTAATAGATGCTGTGTGTCAGATTAGAGTAGAACCAGACAGTCCTTGGTGTGGGTGTGAGTGTCCAGCATATGAAGAATATTGAAAACAGAAAAAATGAAAATTATCCCGACCCAGCATCGTCAACATTCATGTATGCCCCGGCGCCAAGTGGATATCTGGCATACATTTACATGTACATGCAGTGCTGTAGTTATATACTTTTTAAATCCTGCTAAATCCTGAACTGATTAAGCGCAAACAGAGCTGGAAAACATGGTCATGGAATAATGCAAGTAAATTCTAGAAGTATACGTCTTCCTAAGGCTGGTACTATTCCTAAAAATGTATTTTGACACGTCTGTGACGGTCACTTCAGTATTCAACAGCAAACTTGGCAATCAAAACCCAACACTGTATAATTGTATAAATCCTCTGTGACCTGTCAAAGGTTGCAACTACCCTCCAAAATTTATCAAAATCTGTCGGAAAGTTTTGAAAGATGAATGGATTGATGATGGTGGATGGACATCGAAGTTATCTGTACAATGAACTTTATATAAGGCTTGAGAAAGTAGAAAACTGTACCAGTGTGGAATGCAGTGGCGTAGCTAGGATTTTACAGGGGGGCACAAAGGGGGAACTTGCATCTTATAGAGGGCACCAGCTTTCAATGGCATGGTTTTTTGGGGGCAAATTTTTGTTAGCCTTGTTCAATATCCATTCATCCATTTTTTTTAAGTGGGGGGCACCTGGGGGGGGCTACGCCACTGGCAGAATGCACTGAAGGTCGTTATGCCCATATGGTTAACAGATAGGGTTTGTATTCTTTTGAAGAGCAACCCTCTGGAGTGCTTATGTATGACAGGTGTTCAATTTCTGTCTTACCTCAGAGCTATTAGATGGGGCATTGGCAGGTGCATCTGATAATGAGGCTTGGTGGGCATGCATGTTGGCTGGGGGCACAAAGTTGAGAACCATTTGTCGAAATGCGGGCAGGTGAAACAGGGACTGCAATTTGATAATTTGTAAATATATACTTTGTAGAAATATATTTCAAATGAATACTGAACCATTAAAATAGTCATTCAACCCAGCAATGCTGAATCCACACATTTACCATACCTCCAGGCCTTTTCTAGCAAAAGCCTATAAACCTGGCTTGAGGGTTGGCTGTTTGTTTATTATTAGTTTGTTTCGGAAGAAAAGTTATTTTAGTTCCAAATCATTCATCCACAGCAAAATCATTGGCCCTACTTTGTCTCCAGAAGTTTAGACAGTAGTAATGTCACATTGGATCACCAGCCAAAAATTAAAGAAATAAATGTAAGCTTTGCATAACCCAAATAGACGTTACAAGGGACAAGTTTTTAAACCTTCAGACAGGATGAGCAAAATTACATTGCAACTGGCAGGAGGGNGCTTTCAATGGCATGGTTTTTTGGGGGCAAGTTTTTGTTAGCCTTGTTCAATATCCATTCATTCGTTTTTTCAGTGGGGGGCACCTGGGGGGGGGGACTATGCCACTGGCAGAACGCACTGAAGGTTGTTATGCCCGTAAGGTTAACAGAGTCAATAGGGTTTGTATTCTTTTGAAAAGCAACCCTCTAGAGTGCTTAGTGCTTCTGTCTTACCTCAGAGCTATTAGATGGGGCATTGGCAGGTGCATCTGATAATGAGGCTTGGTGGGCGTGCATGTTGGCTGGGGGCACAAAGTTGAGAACCATTTGTCGAAATGCAGGCAGGTGAAACAGGGACTGCAATTTGATAATTTGTAAATATATACTTTGTAGAAATATATTTCAAATGAATACTGAACCATTAAAACAGTCATTCAACCCAGCAATGCTGAATCAATTGTGATCCAAATCAAATAAAGCTCTGCAGGGCATTTGTTTAAAAGCTTGCCAACGGTATTATTCCACTACAAACATTTGTGAGGCACAATTATTTCTTTTCAAAAACACTGGCACTTTTAAATGACAATTGATACCACTACCTTTGTCCTTTACAAAGTTGTACCTTGACAAATGCTGACCCTAGGTGGTGTTAAGATTTGTGTGGCCCTTCTTACTGTGCTGCTGCTTTTCAAAACAGTGAGGCAATGTCAAAGAGCGACCAGTACATTTGCTTCACAGTCCCATGAGGCTTCCCACACATTAACCATACCTCAAGGTCTTTGCTACACAGTCCCACGAGGCTTCCCACACATTAATCATACCTCAAGGTCTTTGCTACACAGTCCCACGAGGCTTCCCACACATTAATCATACCTCAAGGTCTTTGCTACACAGTCCCACGAGGCTTCCCACACATTTACCATACCTCAAGGTTTTTTCACACGAAAGCCTCTAAACCTGGCTTGAGGGTTGGCTTTTTGTTTATTATTAATTTGTTTCAGAAGAAAAGTTATTTTAGTTCCAAATCATTCATCCACAGCAAAATCATTGGCCCTACTTTGTCTCCAGAAGTTTAGACAGTAGTAATCTCACATTGGATCACCGGCCAAAAATTAGAAAAATAAATGTAAGCTTTGCATAACCTAAATAGACGTTACAAGGGACAAGTTTTTAAACCTTCAGATAGGATGAGCAAAATTACATTGCAACTGGCAGGAGAG